TCTATCATAATTGGTCTCCTCCCCTCAAAATTCCAGACCAGAAAGGGGATGGAGAGTGTGGCATAAGAACTAGCTATAAATAAAAAAAAAGAAGAAAAGAAAGTCCAGTGCCATTGATCAATTCATGGCAACCCCAGGCATTCAGAGTAGACAGGAACTAGCCATAACCCAGCATAAAATTCTCCTGTTTACAGCTTGGGTTTCTTAACTTTAATTTTTTTAAGTCATAAAGTCTTTACTACTAATTTCTTTATATTTTGAATAAAAAGCTACTTGTGGGTGATTTCATATTAACTTAAATTGAACATGAAATTGGAGGGCAGAGGCTGTTGGGAAGAAGTACTATTTATGGGGATCCAGGGATGGCAAACTTAAGCAAAAGCAGGGCAAGAGCCTTTACAACATAATACATTAAAAACACACACACAAAGAAAACAGTCTTAAAGTTCAGAAATTTCTAATGAAGGTTTTAAAGGCCATACCACTTCCAAAGTCAAATCAGGACCACCTCTCTCCTCAAGTAACTAAAAATCATAAATTTCAAGAGTAGGAAAGTTTCAACCCACAATTCAATATTGCCACTGTGGAAGAGGGGCGGGGTTTGAGGGCAGAAGCAAAGCAGAAGCCTAAACTCCCATTTTGTGGTAGTTGCTATTAAGTGCCAACCCTGTATAGGGTTTCCAATGAGCGGCTAGGTGAGTTTGAACTGATGACCATGTGATTCAAGGTGATCTTTCAGTCCAGTGTTTATCCTACAGCACTACATCAGGACTTCACAACTATGTGGGAGTGACAGATTCATTCCATTAATTTATAATACAAAGGAAGACACATTTTAAAATATTAACTAATCTATGAATTCTCAGAGCAACAACAATCTCTGCATTTACATTATATAGTGATGTTAACTACATCAAATAGCATTATCTTTAAAGTACCAACATGAAGCAGAGTGTAACCAATACCGCCTCCTAAAAACAGAATGTATAAGGTATCTCACCTAAGGACAAATAAAAGAAGTCCTGATAGTGTAGTGGAGTAAGAGTTGGGCTGTTAACTGTAAAGTCAGCAGTTCGAATCTACCAGTCAGTCCTCAAAAAAGTTTTCTGCTCCAGCAAAGATGTACAATCTCAGAAACCCTACACAGGGTCACTATGAGTTAGACTCGACTCAGTGGCACACACCACCATGGCAAATAAGGCACATTTAAATGCAACTAGGAGTCCTGGCATAGTGCTATAGGATAAGCACTGGAATGCTAACCAAAAGGTAGGCGGTTCAAACCCACCAACTGTTCCATCGAAACTACACAGGGTTGCTATGAGCTGAAACTGATTTGTTGACACTTCACAACAAAGTGTCCTGGTAGAGTCCTAGTGTGGCATTGTAGGATAAGTACAGCAGTTCAAGCCCACCACCAGTCACTCCTCGGACACCATATACAGAACCCCTATGAGTCAAAACTGACTTGCTAGCACTTTACAACAACATGTAAAAGGTACAGTAGACACAGCCAGATTACTCTTTAGAAGCCACTGTAGAGAGACTTCATCTCTCATACTTTGGAAATATTATCAGGAGAGACTAGATTCTGAAGAAGGACATCATGCATGGTCAAGTGGAGGGTCAGTGAGAAAGAGGAAGACCCCCAAACAAGACAGATTGACACAGTGGCATCAGCAATAACCTCAAGCATAACAACGTTGTGAGGATAACAACGTTGTGAGGATAACAAAGCACCAGGCAGTATTGCAGTTTTTTGTGTACAGAGTGGCTGTGAGTCAGAACCAACTCGACAGCATCCAATAACAACAACAGATAAAAAATTAAGATTTAGCTCCTGACCTCAAAATTCACAAGATGGGGGAAGTCAAAAACATGAGTAGCTTTGCGAGTCAGTAGTAACCCGAATTTGTCAGGTATGAAAATGGGAGGAAAGGTATAAACAGACAAACAGGACAACGCAAACAGAGGCATAACTGTAGAGAACACAATCAGATAAGCACAAGTCCTGAGTGGCCAGAGCAAGGTCGATGAGAGGGAAGCATGCATGGGCATGCAATGCTGATCATGAAACCAAGAAAGGCTTGCAATTGGATTGTAGAGGACTATACAGCTACAACAAGGTATTAGACCTTTGTCCAGAAGGTCAAAGAGAGTCTAACAGACATTAATTACACAACGTTTTTACAAAGCTAACTGGTGGCAGGGTGGAAGAGACTTAAGAGGAGATACTGTTGTTGTTGTTAAGTATCACTGAGTCTGTTCTGATTCACAGTGACCCTGTACAGGGCTTCCGAGGAGCAGCTGGTAGGTCTGAACTGCTGGCTTTGTGGTTAGTAGTCCAGTGCTTATCCTACAATGCCACATTAGGGTTCCAAAAGGAGATGATAGAGAGTAGAAAATATGAGGAAATTACTGTAACATAGGGAGTCCTGGTGTGGCGCTGTGGGTTAATGCACTGGACTGCAAGTCGGTTTGAACTGCAAGGTTGGCAGTTCAAGCTCACCAGTCACTCCTCAGAAACCCTATCAGGGTCACTATGGGTCAGAACCAACTCAACAACACTTACAACAACAATAACAGTAATACAGAATTGCCGATGCCTCTGAATTATGGTGTTGGCAAAGAATACTAAATACACCACAGTTTGCCTGAACACTCAAACAAATCTTTCTTGGAAGAAGTACAGTCAGAATGTTCCTTAAAAGCTATGATGCTGAGACTTCATCTCATGTCCTCTGGACATCTTATCAAGAGGGACTAGTCCTTGGAGAAGGACATAATGCTTAGTAGAGGATCAGTGAGAAAAAGGACCCTCATAAGACAGACTTGACACAGTGACTGCAAAAATGGGTTCAAACATGGCAACAATTGTAAAGATGGTACATGATCAGACAGTGTTTGTTCTGTTGTGCCTAGGGTCGCTATGAGTCAGAATCAACTTGACAGCACCTGACAATAACAACTGGAATTGTTAAGATGCCCATGCAGTAATAAAAGTGAAATGTTACTAACAATAAACAACTAAATAAGAGCAACTGGAGCAAAACCTCCATCAACTCAGCAGCAATTGTTTGCCACATCTTACTTGCATTGTCATCTTATGTGCACAAGAACCCGTAAGTGGGGGTCAGTACTGTCCCATTTTACAAATGAGAAAACTGAAGCTTAAAAAGGTCAAGTCATTTTCCAGAAGACAGCTCACCAAGTGGGTGACACAGCCTGGACACAAACCCAGGGTAGTCTGACTCCAATGTCCATTTCTACCAGCCTAAAGAAAGGAGCACGCATAGCATAGTGGTTACAAATCGGGCTGCAAGCTACAAGGTCAGCAGTTCGAAATTACCAGCTGTTCTGCGGGAGAAAGATGAGGCTTTCTGCTCCCGTAAACATTTACAGCCTCGGAAACCCTGTACAGGGTCACTATGAGTCGGAACCAACTCCACGGCACATAACAACAACAAAATAAAGGGTATAGAAATATAAAAATGAACAAGACTTAGATATAACCTCCTAAACCAAGTTACAGGCAATAGGGGGAAAGGAGAAAAGACTGCAATCAAGAAGTCTTTAGAAGATATAATCAACAGGCTTTAATGACCACTGACTACTCACACCCCACCCCAGGATTTTCACTCACATACTAATTTTGCCTTCCTGAATTGCTTCTAAAATTGATTACTTTCTTAATTTCTAAAGTCTGTGTAATAGATGTTAAGAACCTTGAATTTTTAACCATATGAAGAGTATTAGATAACTTACATAAAAATTCCTTAAATCTAAAAATGTCCTTGTGGCCACACGAAAAACAAATAAATACAGAATGATTAAGAACACTTTTCAGTCAAAAATGATAATTCGGTATCTCTAAATCTAGATGAGACTAGATTTATATTCTTTAGTTAGAAATCCTGAAGACATGTACACAGAAAATCTCAGAAATAGTACCTAAGTTAAAAATGGGGAATCAAAAAGGAACTCTTTAAAATCTACAAACAATTTAGCTATCCAAACATGAGGATACCCTATGCACAACAGAATGAAATCCTGCCTCATCCTGTGCCAGCCTCACAAGAGTTGTCATGTTTAAGGCCATCGTTGCTACCACTGTACCAATGCATCTCACTGGGATTCTTTATATATATGTTGTTGTTGTTAAGTGCCGTCAAGTCAGTTCCAACCCATAGCGACCCTATATAGGGTTTCTAAGGAGCGACTGGTGAGCTTGAACCACCAACGCTGTAGTTCAAACGGCTTTGCAGTTGGGCGCATTAACCCACAGCACCACACCACTCCTTTATATACACGTATGTACTACTTATATATAGGTACTCCCAATATATAAAGAATCCCAATGAGATGGATTGGTACAGTGGTAGCAACGATAGCCTTAAACATGACAACTCCTAGGAGGATGGCACCCTGTATGAGTCACTATGAGTCGTAACTGATTTCATGGCACTTAATGCGCTGGACTGCAAAAGTCGGTTTGAACTGCAATGTCAGGGGTTCAAGCTCACCAGCGACTCTTCGGAAATCCTATATAGGGTCGTTATGGGTCAGAACTGATTTGATAGCACTTAACAACAACAACAACAACGTGTACATTGTAGAGTCGGTTCTGACTCAGAGACCCTCTATAGGGTTTACAAGGCTGTACAACTTATTTACTGTTAACATCAGTAAATGTTACAATTCAGTGGAAAGATTACTTATGTGAGAATTTCTATTTCAATAGCTATAATTTGATTGTTAAACTTTTAAGACCCCTTGCTTTTTTATAATTGTATATATACATTATATGTTTTACCCTGAAAGAAAAAAAAGTTTGTATTGTGTTAGTTCCAGTTATAATTTTCAGCTGAGTCAAACGTCTAACAGTTTTAAAACAGGAAATCCAAAAGGAAATTCCATCAGCAGTTCCTGGGGTTTGGTAACACAAAGGTTCTTGGAAACTGGGAGAAGCTCTCAAATGACTGCATTTACTATCATCTTACCTCATATCTTCAAGCAACTCACATTCTGCTTGATGCTTGGCTTGAAGTTTTGTCATCTGCTCAACTTGAATGTTTTTCAGTTCTTGAGTAACTTTCACCTAAAATATACCATATATTTATGAAGATCTTACTACAACTTTAACAACAACAACAACAAATTTACTTGAGGAAAATCTTTCATAAATCCACTTTTTAAATTATCTTTAGTGAGGAAACTTAATAAATGAAGAAAGAATAGCCAAACAACCTCAGGGGCTGAATGAACTCATAGAACACAAAAGTTTAACAATTACAGATTAAAAAGGTGTAAAACTGCCAGCCAGTCATTCCACTTCATGTATGTGCTATACATATATCTAGGTCTTACACTTTTAAAAGAGCCCGTCTATTTCTTCTAAAAAGGATTTCACAGACCAGGAGAGGAGAGCAGTGTAGACAGGCGAAGGAGCATAAAAACATCTAACCCTAATGACCGAAGTTTACACAATCGTGAAATGTGCACTCCATTAAATTATCCCATAATGGCTGTGACAAAGCACAGGGTCTCAGATGCCCCGACTCGCTGACAGCACATCAAATCACAATTACTTTCTCAAAAAGGAGAAAGCAAAAGTGACCTTTCCAGCATAGGCAAGGATTTTAAGTCACCCCAGCAAGCCAGTTTCCGTAGCAGCTCCACTTCAAACAGCAAGAACAGAAATGCTCGCACGAGGTTCGCCCACCAGGTAGAGTGGGACCTCACTCAGGGTTCTAGGTTACGGTGGGTCTACAGTTCCAGCTTCCAGAGAAAGGCTATCGAGAGAGCTGAGGGTACATGTGCCAAAGAAAAGATCTCATTGGAGAAACCAGGGTTAAGAAAAAGAAAGGGATGAGGAAGCAGATACGAGTGAGTTCGGCATTCAGCAAATGTGTGCCCATCCGCCTCCCCACCCAGGGCCCAGAGTGGACACTCAGTCACCATCTGCAGGATTAAAAACACAAGGACACAACCTCAGATCCGGGGGAAACTGTGTTACTGGGCAGTAAAGCAGTTCGCGAGGGCGCAGCGGGGAAACTGCTGACAACCAGGACCACCCGTCACTCCCACCCGAGTCATCAAAGCTCAGTTCGCAACGTACACGCCACGCGCGGCCCTGCTCTCGATTTCTTTGGGGGGGGGGCCTAGCACTACCACTTCCTCGTGCTCCCCCCTCTCCCCCGTGGGGAGGTCGGCAGTTTGAGGGGAAAAGGCAGGGCCGTTCAATCAATAATTTTTTGTTTCCCCCGGGGTGTGTGTGTGTGTGTGTGACTATTCCAACTTGTTCACAGCAGCCCCATGGGAAAGGCAGGCCAAACACTAAGACGAGGCTTGAAAAAAATCCCCTGCAAATTTGCAAATGGGCAGGGGTGGCGACAAGCGGCTAGAAGGCTCAAACCTGGTGCAGACTAAACAATCACAACACCCACAAGGCTCTGCAAAACTGCAGGGGTTCCCTAGTCTCTTCGCGGTGCAGCCCCGAGAATGCACTTTGCATCGGACAACACTGCGATGCACACCCGAAACTCTTGTGAAATGTCTGGCGTCTCCAGTGTGTTGGAGGGGCCGGCGCCGGCCACACTTGGGTCAGAAAGACACCTCACAAGCGCGCCCCCAGCCAGGAGCCGGCGGCAACTCGTTGACAAGCCCGAGGCTAGGGCGATCCTAGCCCCATGCGGAAGGGGGAGGGGGCACAGTAGTCACTACAGCCGCGTTGCTGGTCTGCATCACACCTCCCACCCACCCCCAGTCCCCAAAGCCCCCCAGTTACACCCTTACCTTCCTTGGTGGCGGCTGCATGATGCTGAAGGGACATCAATCCTCCCTCGACCGCAGCGTTAGTAAGGGCGAGAAGGAGGGCCGGAGAGAAGGGGGCAACCCAGCGAGCGCGTGCACGCGTGTGTGTGTGTGTGTGTGTGTGTGTGTGTGTGCACGAAAGGCGAGTCTGAGAACGAGGACTCGCCCAGCAGAGAGCAAGGCCGGAGGGAGGCAGGAGGACCACAGTTGGAGAGCTGGTACGAAGAGAAGGAGGAGGAGCGCTAGGAAGGCCTGGGGCTCAGGCGGTTCTTGGGGGTGTGTGAGGGAAAGAGGCGGAGACCAGGAGGGGGCGGGGAAGCGGGGACGCAGGGTCTCCCAGCCCGCTAAGCTGCAGCTGCGTTAACCGTGATCTCCACCCACCCTGGGCTGCGCTGCTCCTGGCTGATGCTTCGGCCCCCAGATTCAGGCAGCAGGGCCCTCCTTGGGCCCAACGCCTCCGCCCGTCCCGGAGAAAAGGGAGGCGGCGCTAAGCTCTTGGTTTAGCCTTTGCCACTCAGTCCACGGGAATTTCCGGCCCCACAGCGCAGCGTAGCGCCCCTCTCGGGCCGCGGCGGGAAGAGCTCAGTGGAGAGCAGAGCTGGAGGGGCCCGGCCAAAGGGGCCGGGCCAGGTTACAGAGAGCGTGGCCGCGCGGGACACTGTATTGCGGTGAGGGACGGGGGGAACTAGCGGATTGGTCGGCATATGGGAGAGGTGGAAACGCTAGAGGAACACAGAAATAACCCCGCTCTCTTCGAGAGTGGCACATTCCAAAGGTCTCCTGCTTTCCCTCCCCCACGCCCGGAGCCAGCCGGGGGCTTCCCGCGCGCTTTTCCGCCTGCCCGCCGCGGCGCGCGCTGCGGTCGAGGGCGCGCACCGTGGGCGGGATAGGGCTCTGCGCCGACGCACGCGCACAGGCTGCCCCCACCTCCCGCGGGCTTTTGCAGCTGCAGCTTGTGTGATAGGGTTAGGACGCGTGGAGGAAAAGCGATGTTACCAAGGAAGTTTTGCAATGGTAGGGGGATGTAGGTCTTTGGCGGTAGGGAAGTTCCGGTTCTTTGCTTCTTCTTGTTAACCCCTACACCTTTCTCTCCCGAATGAATGACTAGCTAGATATCCACAATGAGGGCAAACGGTGGACAGCACCTTTCAGTGGCCTGCCTCAAATACCAGACTAGTGTGGGCCGCCCAGCTAGGAGTTGCCCAGCGGAGAAAAAAAAACAAACAGCAAAACAAAACCGGCTCTCTGCTACAAGGCATTCAAGGCATGGAGCACAGGCTCAGTGCTGGAAGAAAACCGAGACATCAAGACCAAGCTCCCCATGTCTCCATGTCACTGGTGGGAAAGGCTGGGGCACCTAAAAGAATGGGGACTTTCTGAAGGTCACATCAGAACTAGAATTTCTGGATCCCAAAAGTTCAATGAGCTACAAAGAAATAGATGAAGGACGATAGCCCATAAGGAAAAGGGGAGAAGGCACCTAAAGAGGTGCCAGTTGGTCATTCTGCCCCCAACTGGCTGGACAGCTCTTGCACATGCTTCCTCATCTGCCCTCTGGTGCCCTTCCTGCTCTGTCCAGACCATCGTGGGGAGGGGAGAAAGGGGTTATCAACTTCCCTAGATATTCCTCAGAACTGAGTGGAAATACCTCTTCCCCATGTCCCGGGAGTTACACTGAGCCACAGGGCTTTGTGGAGAATAAGCTGGTTGCTCCATGGTTTCATCAAAAGTTGGGGTTCCAGACAGCTGTTCTCAGAAATGTAGTCAGGCAAAAGAGAAAAGTGAATGAGGCCATGTGGCCAATAGGAAGGTAGAATTTGAAACATTTTGTTACATTGAATTAGCCTAGATTCTTGTTCAAGAAGATGATAGATCAGAGTCAGAGTAATCTGGAGCTATGTGTGAACTAGAAGACTAGTCTTTCTATTTCTGGTTTCCTTGAGGCCATTCAAAAGTCAACCCTTCTCCAGAGTCCTCAATTAGATCAGGGAAGGCCTGGAGCAAGGAAACTGTGGTGGAGGCACAAAACACTGTCATCTGTGGGCAGCAGCTAGAGCCAGAGGCAACCAGGCTAGGCTCCAATCTCAGTTTCACCACCAATTCATTGTAAAGTCTTGGGCCCGTCACTTTACCTCTTTCAGCTTTTATTTCTTCACTTGTAAAATGGGGTACACTATCAACCTCACAGCTGATTAATATTAAATAGCATGTCTCCTATCACAGGGCTTTGAACATAGTCCGTATTCAATAAATACTCATTGATTCATCATTTAAAAGCAACAACAACAAAAAAGATTCACCTTTGTACCAAGCCTTGTGCCATAAACTAGTGACACAGGGGTTTACAAGAATCATCCTGATCCTCACCAAGCCTGATGTACAGACAGACCACTATTTCAAGAATGACATTCGGCTAATGGGGGGCTGGGGAGGGGCAGTACTTGTTCAAATGCAGTATCCTGCACATAGTAGGTGTTCAACAAAGGTTTACTGAAGACATAATGAATGCTGTATCCTAGTGCTGGGTGCAGCTTATCTGGCCTAGAGAAATCCTGTATCACCTGGTGGGCCTTCTGTGAGCATCGGTCCCTATCTACAGAATAAGGTAAGTGAATGAATCTGGAACTTATTAGACTCTTCACAGATGAAGTCAGATCCCAGGCTCTATTTTATGTCTCTAAAGGGACATCTGATTTTACCATCATTCTGAAGCTAGGAATAGCACTGACTTTCTGGAATTATTTCCTTTAGAGGTGTTATATAAAGAAGCAATACTAATGGGTTTACGTACTACAGTGTGATAGATTGCTTTTGTATGACCTTTCTCTATATAGTCTTATAACTCCTTCCAAAGGACTAGGTGGAACTATGCAAATAAGGTGTATGGATTATTAACAAGGGGATTGGTCAGTTTTGCCATCTCTAGGCAGGATGTCATCTAGCTCTTATTGGCAGAGCTAAAAAGCTTTATAAGATTTTCCTGAGCAGAACAAAAGCCAGGTGCAGGGCTAGAGAGGTCTGTCTGTGGGCATGACTGAGAAGAGGCTGTCTGGATCAAAGAACTGTATTTTGAGTTATTCTTGATCCTGAACTGTAACCTATTACTTCCCTAATAAGCCCCGTGACTGAGTGTGGTCTGTAAATTGAGAAATAGTTATCGAAACCAGCAGAGAAGTATTGCATATCATTTGAGTGTCCAAATTGGAGGATGGAGGTATGCCTGGCCTCTGCTTCATAGGAATCAGCTTTGGACTTTTGATATTGATGGTGATTCTCCTTTTCCTTGTGAAATTAGATGAGAAGGTCAAATGTCCCCACCATTACACCATTTTGTACAGTAGTTGTCAGAAGTGGGATTTGTTGCAATTGCTCCAAACTCATGGTATCATGGAACTTTATCAAAGAAAGAACAAAGACATGTGGAAAATGAAACTTGATTATTAGATAGCTACTTTGTTTGTTCTTACCTGTGGTGGCTGTAAGGAAAATAAAAGATGTTATTCTGTAGCTGAGGGGGAAGAAAAACAGCATTTAGAGTAGCTTAAGGCAAACCACTTGGAGACCTGGTGTGGCGCTGCGGGTTAATGCGCTGGACTGCAAAATCGGTTTGAATCTGTGGTTTAAGCTCACCAGCCACTCTTAGGAAACCCTATGGGTCGGAACCAACTCAATGGCACTTCACAACAACAAGGCAAAACTAAGGTCAGTTAAGCAAGATGATTAGTAGGAAATCAAGATCTTTTTTTTTCATTTTAGCTCTTTTTACTTATTTATTTAAATACTCAGGTATATATAATAATTTACACCACATTCTGCAAGCCTGCTTCCTGGCTGCCAAATCTCAGTCCCTCTCTTTTCATGAATCTAGAGTCCTCAGCTGCTCCTTCTCTTCCTGTCCCTATCTCTGCCTTCATCTCTGCTGTGGCTGCTTCTCTGGATAAGATCTTGCATTCCGCTTGTGCTTTTCTCCCTTGACTGTCATAGGGTCCTCTGTTTCTGGACTGTAAGATTAACCACTCCCCTGTTTTTGTTATAAAACTTCTACTTTTACAATTGTGAGTCACAATTAGTCATGATAACAATTACTATTGAATCATAAGAATCTTATCCCCATCTCTTTTTAACAGACCCATCTAGACAAGATGAAAACTATTCGGTGGGGACTCTTTCTTCCCCCACACACTCTTAAACTAAACTCCCTCTTGAAACCTTGTAAGTCAGTCACTTCATGCCTCTATCGCCCCCTCATTTTAGGTAGACAATGTCTAAGTTGCCCGTCCCTATCTACCCGTATACAGAGGGGATAGCATTGAAACTTGATGTGAAGACTTCTTCCCTCTCTGTTGGTATTTAGTGCTACTACCTCCATGAGTAAGGAGCTCTGGTAGCGTAGTGGTTACGAATCGGGCTGCGAACCTTAAGGTCAGTGGTTCGAAACTACCAGCCGCTCCGCGGGAGAAAGATGAGGCTTTCTACTCCCATAAGGATTTACACCCTCAGAAACCCTGTACAGGGTCGCTATGGGTCGGAACTGACGCCACGGCGCATAACAACAACATATGTTTATTTAAATTACTATGGATATTGAATGTTTTGTCTATCTAATATTCCTGGTGTGGTGCTGTGGGCTAATGTGCTGGACTACAAAATGAGTTTGAACCACAGGGTCAGCAATTCAAGCTCACCAGCTGCTCCTTGGAAACCCTATACAGGGTCCCTATGGTTCAGAACCAACTGGACGGCACTTAACAACAACAGTATCGTATAACAGACTTACTTATATAGTGGAAATGAATATTAAGTATTAAAGATTACAAAGAACATGTAACTCCACCATCAGCAAATACTTAATTGGATATGCTGAAAGGGGAGCTAGTATTTGCTTGAAAGAAGCACAGGCTGTTCATTTGAATGCAGTAGTCCTATGCAAGGAGTACTGGTGTGGCACTGTGGGCTAATGTGCTGGACTGCAAAGTCAGTTTGAACCACAAGGTCGCCAGTCAAGTTCACCAGCTGCTCCTTGGAAACCCTAGGAGTAGAGTGGCTGAACCTAAAGTCCCTTAAAAGTTTTGCTATTTGAACCACAAGGTCAGTGGTTCACATTCAC